TTGCAAAGCCTTGCAAATGAACTACCAGATGCCTTTAGTGACAAGATCGCATATGCCTATAGTAAATGCACTGGAGAGAGTACAGGTACCCCAGAAGGTTACCAACTCTATTGTCTTCTCTAATCCTAGGAAGAGGGGGAGACCTCCAGGTGCCCAGGACAAGGTTCCGCGGAGACGTCCGCAGAGACGAGGACCTGAGCCACTTGCATGACTCAAGGAATCAGTTGAAGAAGCTCAACCAGAAATTGAGAATGCCCCTGAAGAGGCAACTCAACCTGAAGTTGAGATGGTCCCTGAAGGACCCCATCCTAAAGATGGAAATCCCAATGCGTCGTGCGCACACTATCGCATTGGAAGATCGAAACGCCCTAGCTCAATCGTTATGTGAACTCATGATGAGTGGGAGAACAATCGTGAGGATATCACCACTAATTATGTGGAGTCAGGAGAGTCATATCATAGAAAGACCACTATTGTCGACATATATTTCGCCTCAAAAATTGCTGACTCAATGGATCCGGATCTAGAACCGAAGTCCATGATAGAGTGCTGGAAGCGCTCAGATTGGGGCAAATAGAAAGCAACAATAGAGGCAGAACTACGCTCGCTTTAGCAATGAGAGGTCCTTGGGCCTGCAGTCCCAACACCTCCAAGGGTCATCCCTGTAGGATGCAAATGGGTCTTCCTCCGGAAGAGGAATGAACATGGTCAGGTGGTAAGATACAAATCGAGGCTTGTGGCACAAGGGTTCATGTAGAGACCCGGCATCGATTATGATGAAACTTACTCTCCTATTATGAGTGGCATAACATTCTAATATCTCATATCTATGGCGGCTAACTTGAATTTAAAAATGCAGTTGATGGATGTTGTGACCACATATTTGTATGGGTCACTTGATTCAGAAATCTATATGAGAGTCCCTGAAGAACTCAAGATCCTTCAACCGAATCAAAACCACAAAACATGTTTAGTGTCCACCTACAGCGGTCATTGTACGGGTTGAAACAATCTGGGAGGATGTCGTTCAATCGGTTGAGTAACTTTCTCCTGGAGAGTGGTTACACAAATAATGATGATTGTCCTTGCGTCTTCATAAAGAAATCTAATGATGAATTTTGCATCATCACAGTTTATGTCAATGATCTAAACATCGGGACTACAAAGCACATCCTCAAGGCAGAGTTTGAGATGAAAGACTTGGGTAAAACCAAGTTATGTTTGAGCCTGCAACTCGAACACCTCCCTGAAGGAGTGTTTATACACTAGTCCACTTATATGAAGAGGGTACTTGAAAAGTTCAATATGAGAGAGTGCCACCCTCTAAAAACCCCCATGGTTGTTCGATCATTGGAAACAGATAAGGATCTGTTTTGACCCAAGGAAGAGGATGAGAAAACTTTGGGACCTGAAGTTCCATACCTCAGCGCCATTGGGGCACTAATGTACCTCGCAAATTGCACACAACCAGATATTGCATTTGCAATGAACTTGTTGGCCAGGTACAGTGCCGCCCCCACCAAAAGGCATTGGGTTGGCGTGAAAACCATCCTCAAATATTTAAAGGGCAATCAGGACCTTGGGTTGTGGTTTCCTAAAAAAGGGGATTTAATATGGTGGGTTATGCTGATGCTGGCTATATGTCGGACCCCCATAATGCTAGATCATAGACTAGTTTTGTGTTCCTCTATGGTGGTGCAACCATCTCTTGGCAGACCCTGGTTGCCACACCGACTAACCACTCAGAGATAATTGCTCTATACAAAGCCGCACGAGAATATTTTTGGCTATGACAGATGATTAACCACATCCAGAAGTCGTGTGGTATGAACATCATCGACACCCCCTCCATTATCTATGAAGATAATGCGGCTTGTGTTGCGTAGATGCATATGGGCTATGTCAAGAGCAATCGCACAAAGCATATTGCTCCAAAATCTTTTACCCCCATGAGCTCCAAAAGAGCGGGGAGATAAATATCCTGCGAGCTAGATCATGTGAAAGTCTAGCAGACCTATTCACAAAATCTCTGCCAGCCTCTAGCTTCCATAGATACGTCCGTGGAAGAGGTATGAGATGACTTAGAGAGTTGCAGGGTTCAGGGGGAGACCAACCCCGAAGCCATAACTCTTGATCGTGATCCTGAAGCTCACGAGTCAGTATTGAAGACCTAAACCAGAGATCAACTGTTGTACTCTTTTTTTCCTTGATGAGTTTTTTCCCACTAGGTTTCTCATTCAAGGTTTTTAACGAGGCAACAAGTGTAGCGTAAGCAATGTATGGGATGTACTCTTTTCTCCTACCCTTTTTCCCACTGGGTTTTTGGGGGGAGTTTTTAATGAGGCATACACATGACCTATGATTGGCCAAGCGTGAGTGTTGTGGATCAAAGTCCAAGAAACAATATGAACAAGAGAAATTGAATGGTGGCCAACTAAATGGAGAAGAGGAAGGAAGTCAAGGGTTCAAATACTGTAGCAACTTGTATCCATTTAGTGTCTTCCTCTATAAATGGGAATCACTTTCAATTGATGTAAGAAGTAAGAAGAAGCAAAAGTCACTACTACAGTAAACTTAACCGAGGCGAGCATCACAATCGCCTCGGACAAAAGGTCACGGTTAATGGATTCTTTCCTGAGACGGTTCAAATGTCCACCATGGTAAATCAAATAAAAAATAAAAAATATAAGAAAACCCATGGACTAGCCCAGCAAGCCCATCCATGGGCCCGTCGAGCCCATCCACGTGTCGCTGCTCCGCTCGCCGGATCTGCGCCGCAACTCACCGGATCTACCAAAGAAGGGAGGGAGGGAGGCCGCGGGAGAGCGGATACACCCTAGAGGAGGAGATCCGCACTGCCCCGCACTGGATCCACGTTGCCCCTGCCCGGAGACGGCCGCGCTGGATCCACGCCACCCTACTCAGAGACGGACGTGCCGGAGGAGATCCGCCTGCCCCGTGCCAGATCCGCACTGTCCCTGCCCAGAGACGGTCGTGCCGAAGGAGAGCCGCCTGCCCTGGCCAGATCCACGCTGAAGGAGGTGCCAGGGGCCGCCACCGCCGTTGCCGCCGAGCACGCACGGGCCCTCGCTGCCACTTGGCAAGGCTGGCCCCATGCCATCGCTCGCCAAGGCCGGCCGGTCCCCTGCCGCCGCCCGTCGGGGACGGCCCCGGTCGTCGCCCGCCGGGAGAGAGAGAAAGATCCTAGAGAGAGATAGAGAGCGCTGGGAGAGAGAGAAAGCGTCGAGAGAGAGAGAGAGAGAGCTTGCGCCACGCGCCTGGTCTGAGAGTGAGGGGTACGGAATGAGAAACCCTAAGCCTAAGTGTCCGTATATATATGGAACACTGGTAACGGGCCTTCTGGTCTTTTCTATGGGCGTTGGGCCATTTTTCTGAGGCTGGCCTCCTAAGAGGTCCGCCTCTGAAAATGGAGACCATTTTTGGAATGCTCGCTTTCGTAAATAGATTTTAGGAGGTGGTTATTTTGCGACCGCCTCAGTAAATTGATTTTACGAGGCGGGCGTCGGCGCAAAAATGTGTCAATGCGCCTAGCACACAGCAAGTCGGAAGGATCTGCTTGATGGAGCAAGGCTGGAGATCCGCTTGGCTTCAACGCAGGACCAGTCGACCCTGCGAATTCCTAAAGGCGTGCCAGTCAATTTGACCTGCAATTGACAAGGAGAGAAAGTTTATCCGTAATTTAAGGTGGAACATGCCGGTCTTGCCCAGACAGTTCCAAGTGTGCCGCTTCGGGAGCAGCCAGACGGGAAAAATCGACTAAACAGCCGATACGCGAAGAAATCAGCTATGAAGGACTGTAAAGCTCGTGGGTTGCGATTGATTTTATGATGACAAGTACAATGCACGCAGATGTAAGTAAAATCATCATCTAGGTGGATATTACCCGTGTAAAGCATTGAGCCGATGAATCTAACGAGACGCGTTTACAAACATCGTTTGTAGTAGTATCCTTACTATAGACGCATGTATTGTACATGCGTCGGCACTATGTTTCTTCACACAGATGCGTTTACAAACATCGTCTGTAGTAGGATTCTTACTACAGACGCGTGTATTGCTCACGCATCGGCACTATATTTCTTCACACAGCCGCGTTTACAAATGTCGTCTTTAGTAGGATTCTTACTACAGACGCATATAACAGACACGCGTCTGAGATATGGTTCTTCACACAGACGTGTCTTAATCTTGTCGCGGACGCGCGTCTCCAGTAAGAGCTTATTGCAAACGCGTGTAGATATTCACCGGTCTCTGTTAAGGGCTTATCACAGACGCGTGTTTGTTTTTGTCAGTCGCGTATTGATAACACGCGTATGTAGTATGTGATTATTATAGACGCGCTTTATTAAAGACGCGTTATGGCAGACGCGCTGTGCCTCAACACGCCTCTGTGATGTGCTTTTTTTACATAGTGATTAGGCCACCAGATCATTTGTGAGGTCAATCAGAGTCATTTAAAAAATCTATTATTTCAAAGATAGAGAAGTTCCACAGCAAGTTCAAGAAGAGATGGCTGAGCCAAAGTGGAACAGATGCATAGATACAGAGCATGTTAGGCGACATATACACACTAAGAAGTCGTGCCTTGACTAGTAGCATAACGTGGCCTGGTCCCAAACAGGAAACATCTCGATCAGGACCTCCAGAATAGTGCCACACGGTTTGACTTACCCGGCCCCGACACGGCTTCCCTTCACGGCTGACAAGGAAAACTTGTTTTTCTTTTTCTTGCAAAGAAACATCGCCATGACCCATGAGTGTTTAGCTAGTAGTGACTGCAATAGTGTATACTAGCTGGAGCACGAGTGTTCTGTCATTTCGTTGGAAAGGAGTAAGGAAAATAATGTGTGAGTAGTGTAGGGAGTCATGCTCGGAGTCGTCGGAGCAGGAAAAAAAAACCTTCCTACCGCCCGACCCGTGGGCATCGTACGTGAGGCTAGCTAGCAGGAGATCCGGCCAGGGGGCTGTCGGAGTCGGAGATGGCTGATCCGGTGGCCAGCGTGGAGAAGATCGTCAAGATCGGGCTCAGGATCAAGGAGGCAGTGGACACGGTTCGCCGGAACGAGGAGGTGTGCCGAGAGATCAGGCAGCGAGTGCTCAGGTTCAGCGCCATCCTGTCGCAGCTGCATCGGACGGGGATGCTGAACGACGACAACCCGGCCATGAGCGGAGCGCTGGAGGACCTCGAGCAGACGCTTGGGCGCGCCCTCGACCTCGTCGCGGCCTGCCAGGGGAGGGGCCGGAGCGCCGTCCACCGGCTCATCACGGCGGGGAGCCTCTCCAGGAAGCTGCGCGAGGTCAAGGACGATATCTCCAACAAGGTCATGTTGGCGTCTTTCGCCATCAACGCCAACACCACCATCATGCTGCTGACTCTGCATTTCGGTGGTGCTTATCCTCGGCCACAACCACTGGAGGTACGGCACAATACATATATTCCCCTTGTTCTGCTTAGAGAAATGGAGAGGGGAGGGAGGGGATCTATTATCTACTCCCTCCATTTTTTCAAATTATAAGATGTTTTGGTTTTTTAATACATAGCAAAAGCTACGTATTTAAAAAAGTCAAAACATCTTATAATTTGAAATAGATGAAGGTTCATGTGTATATATCAATGCTTGTTCTTGAAGCATAGTTCAGTTCAACAGCAAGTTTAATTTTCAGCAATGGTATATATATAAATAAAGGCCACTAGCAGAGAATCAACTTTCGGTTTCGCTCCTTTAGTTCCGGTTGTGTTGGGATCTGGGACTAAAATGAGTATTAGTCCTAAGTCTAAATTTCATGGATACCGAAGGCCCTTTTGTCCCAGTTAGAAACACCAATTGGGCCTAAAAGTCATCATTTAGTCCCAATTGATGTTACCAACCTGGAGTAAAGGTTCTCTAACCTTGGTCCTCGTTGGTGTCACCAATCAGAACTAAAGGTCTCTCACACAGGACTAAAGGTACCCAAAGGTGAATTCAAAAGGAGAGCGCCTATGACTTTGTCACATGTGTTGTGCAGTTGAGTTGGTAAGAAAGCTACGTGTGAGACAAGAGGTTTTGGGTTCGAATCTCACACACCGCATTCGCAGTCCCAGTTTTACTGCATGCATACTACTCCAGTTCGTATTTGGGTATAGTCGTCCAGGGAGTAACAAAGATCAATTGCCATGCTGTTTCAGGATGCAGGCGGACTGATACAGATATCCCATAACAGCGACTCAGCTGAGGATGCTAGGTGAGATATATATCACGCAAATCCCTCTTTTGTTGTGGCACTGTGATCAAGTACGTACTAAGATATAGCCTTTTCTCCTTTACTATTAACAAAAAAAATTGTTTTTTGCTGTATAATGGCAATAATACCAGATCTGAACAGAACGGTGAGGAGAACAACGTCCTAGGAGAAGGTGAGGCCCTGCTTGCTCCCTTAGTGGGTAAGATCTATCGGATCCTTGGCTATTTTTGTCAGCCATATATTTACTGATAAAATGTCATACAAACCCACCCACCACGGTGGTTAGAAAAACGAGATAAATAATATAGAAATTCTGACAAAAAGACAAAAAACATCCAGGTGTTTTTGCATTTTCTTTGATTTATTCTGTGAGTAAATAGCACTAAGTCTATTGAAGGTGCTCACTGGGATAAATAGGATGTGTTTTTTTCCTTTTCTTTTCTTTGCTTTTTTGAAAAGAAAAACTTTATGGAGGGAAATGAAAAACTTTATGGAGCTCTTCTATTGACTTTGAGGTGTCTCATTCCGTATGTGTATCATCTACTATCATGAGATCGAAATTTGACCACATGGTAATTTTAATTCCAAAATTCACTAGCACACAAGGCATTGTCACTTAAATTTTTCACAACCCTCTTGATCCCGTTAGGATACTGTATTCTTTTTCCAATTTCTAGGAGTCTATAATGTTAAAAAATTACCTAATTCCCACATTTCTGAGTCCACTTTAGCGCTCCTATTATTTCTGTAAGAGTTGAGACATTCTTGGCTTGGTGCGGCTCATATGAAGGTTTATTCCTAGTTAGAAAATAACCTAATAATAACCAACCTGTCTATGGCGCCAAGGGCAGCTGCTACTGAAATTTAAGTTCTCCTTAGTAGCCGGGTTTCTGTTTTCTGTTCTGCTCTGGCCGAGTTGTGTTCAGTTTTTGTGTAGGTTTCTTTTCGTTTCCTGTCAGCAGTAGTTCAGCTCCGGGTTATGGTAGCTTTTCAATGGTTGTTTAAGGCCTGTAAATATTTGTAAATCTGCTTTTTCGTTTTCTATCGTCTAATAAAATCATGGCAAATCTTTTGCCGTCCTTTCTAAAAAATAACCAAACTGTCAAGCCGAGACACATGCCACGCATTGATGGACGCAGACACATAGCATCGTGTAGTGTGTTTAATTTTAGGAAAGAATGACACACCATACAGCTGCGAAATACTAAATCGACATATATCAATGTTTATCCCCTTATGCTTCAAACTGAATGTTATGGCTTCTTCCTTGCAAAAAAAAGGACAATACTGTGACTTCTACTATAAATTAATGTTATGACTACACGGTTCATTTATGTTCGCATAATCCAAATCTGAATTTCATAGTATGTGTTGTTTCCACAGCAATAACCTTTAGAGAGTTCAAGTTCTCTGAGTTGACGGCCGCAACCAATGGATTTTTAGACAGCAACATCGTTGGCCGAGGTGGCATAGCTACTGTCTACAAGGTACTTCATATGCCTAGTTTTCCATTTTATGGATTATTTAGATTATCATTGTTATTATAGAATCTCCAATGACAAAGATCTGAAGAGACACAAAATGTCAAGCTTGAGCTCAACAATTTTGAAAAAAGTTTATCTTTATCTGACTTCATAAAAATGTTATGATTTTTTTATATAAGAGAAAGAGAGAGTGCACCACATTTGGCCCCACCGTCACATCAGCAAAACCATACAAGAAACTACTTTGAAATGTTCAAGGGATATTTTATCCAGTTTTGAAAGTTAAGGAGGTTGATTATCTGGTATTCAACTTCGAGGGTAGTGTTAGCAGCAGGGTAGCAGGGATAGGCAGAGGAGCATTGAAATGTTAGCAGCAGGGTAGCAGGGATAGTGTTAACCAGGTCTCCATAGCACATATAACACTTACATGGCCTCAACCCAATTAAAAGTAGGCACAGGCCAGTCCGAACCTACTGTATTTAACTATTCTTCTTAATTAGCAGCCCATGGTTGTGCCATGACAGGTAGTTCTTAAATTCAGCGACAGGTTCAGGGGACAAATTTAATATTTGCCTCAAGTACAGGTCTTTTTATTTCCCCTGAAGCAAAAATACAAAACTCTCCACCACGTTCTAAGAAAGAAAAATAATAACATGAATATATCTTGTACTAGGGTGTATTAAATGACGGGAGTGTGATCGCCATCAAGAAATTTCGTTGGGCACCTCGCTTAGGTTGGGCTTACACATACGAGCAACTTCTTCTTGCTTCAAAGCTTCAGCACAAAAATATCATCAAAGTTCTGGGATATGCTCATGAGGTTGGACCTGTTGTGAAGTGGATGAAAGGCAGAAAGGGCCCAAAAAGAGAAACAGAATACATTTGGGTCGAAGAATATGCACAAAAGGGAACCTTGCATGATATTATCCATTCCCAAGGCATGTTTATCTCCGTTGATATATCTATCGTACAATTCACCTCCTGACCAACTTGTGGTTGCTTATCGACTAACTTTTTGCTATAGTTACTTCCTTGTGAAATCTTGTAGAGCACCGACTTGATTGGTCCTCCTTGATCCAGATAATTGAGGGGATAGCTCAGGGCGTAAATTACCTACATGAGCAACATATTGTCCATTTGGATCTGAAACCAACCAACATTGTCATGGATGTCCATATGAATCCTAAGATTACTGATTTTGAAGTAGCCAAAGTACTGAGTGCTAATCAGATGAGGCGTGATATCATCACAGCCGGAACATTGTAAGATATCATCCCTCAAATGTTGATTTCCATTACTCAGGTTTTTTTTCCTTTCATTCTTATTTATATATTTTTTCTGATGTCATTCATTTTCATTTAAATGATCAGTCAGTATATAGCTCCAGAATATCTGACAGATGGTGTCGTGTCAACGATGAATGATGTGTACGCTTTCGGTATCACTGTTCTTGAGACCGTCAGTGGTATCCGCAGACGAAGTAGCCAACCTAGAGAATTCCAGTTACACCAATGGGTATGTGTTCACATGAACCACAACATGGATCTGTTATTGTTTATCACAAGCTTGTGTAAGAAATTTGAGTTGAACAAAAATTGTGCAATGAGGCGGGGAATTCTTATTGCATATAATTTTGTCCAAGCTCAAATATTGATAAATGTTAGCTTGCAGCATCCATGATCTGGTGTATTTTTATCCATTTGAGAGGTGCTGCCATGAATTGGTAACACGGTAACACTAGATATGTTTTCCTGTAGAGAAGACCCTATTATATAATGCAGTGTTCCTGATCTGTTAATACTTAATACTGTTAGGCTTGGAAGGCTCTTGAAGGTCGAAGAAAGGAGTTTGATCCATTACTGTTTGGCGAATCTCAGCTAGTGGAAATAAAAAGATGCATAAAGTTAGGACTGCTGTGCGCTCAGCATGAGTGGAGAGACCGTCCAACCATGGCAGATGTTCTTCTGATGCTCAATGGAGAGAAGAGGGTACTGACCCCAAAGAAACCAGCATACATCAAATCGAATGCCTAGAATGAATGGACTTGCAGCCACTGCTCATCATTCGTCTATAACATTGTGTGCTACTGAACTCTGCTATGCAATCAGTCTGCTTGTAACTACAACAATGGAGATGATTTTGAAGTGCTTTCGTTTGTTCATTAGTTCAAGTTTTGTTTAATCCGATTTCCAATATTTCTGATTACTGCATATATAGTAAGTACTAGTAAGCTGACGGAAAAACTTAACAATCTCAAACAACCAGCGTCGTACATAATAGAAGGGGCAGTCAGGGGTCAGCCCTCCAACTTGGTCGATCAGTTGGATCGAGGAGCCTTACACGATACTTAGGGCATGATTGGTTCACGTCTAAATATTACCACACCTCACATTAGTCAGCCATAGTTTGTTATGCAACTAATTTTGGTTATTGATTGCCACAACTGTGGCAAGCCATGTTTTGTCACAACGTGTATGAAAAGAATAAGTGGTCCAAGAGTGTGAATTAGCTTTTGTAAAAATTAAACTAGAGCAAGTAGAAACCAAACGTAGCAAATAAATACATCTTAGACATCTACAGAAAATTCTGACATCTTTTCTTCAGGTCGCCATGTCTATAATCTTGGTCGAAAATAAAATTAACATATTTCTGCACAGAATAAATCTAGCAGGGCAGCTGCACTGCTATGGCGATTGCTCCTAAACTACTGACCAGATTTATGTCAAACCAGAGCCATTGGAAATATAAAAACTAGATCTACAACTTTTGTTTCAAAGCAATGTTGAGATTTTTTTTCTTGAATACGCAGGAGATCTGTGTATCAATATATTAAGAAGAAAAGGGTATAGAATCCAAACAACAACACACAACCCCAGCAAACGTTCAGATCACACACACAAAAAGAAAAGGAAAAGAAAAATAAAAAGAAACTCGCCAAAGATTGCAAGCATCAAACAGCCTCGACCAACTAACTAATTAATGCTGGACCGAAGGGCAAGGAGATGTGAAACCCCTCGAGCCCCAGCTAAACACCAGAAATATAACTCCTCCCTGATGGACTCTAAAACTCCATCCAAACTAGGCGAAATTCCACCAAACACGCACTGATTGCGGAGATTCCAGCAATGTTGAGATTTTGCACCAATTAATCCAAGAATTTCATTGAACAAGACAGCAATGTTGAGATTTTGCACCAATTAATCCAATAATTTCATTGAACAAGACAGCCTAATTCACACAATCTGAAATTGATCTACTAGTCCAATTTAATGTCCCTAGATCAAACTGATGCATCTATTGTTGTAATGGCTGGTTACCTTTCAAGAAAACAACACACATCTGAGGAAAACTTGCCAAAAATCAGCAACTTTTGCCTTCGCTTTCTCCACTCTTTCTTCTCCTTTCTATCTTTTCTGTATGCTTCCCTTTTCTTCTCCTGTCATCAGCACTAGCAATAGGTGCACAACACCAGAAAATAGTCACACAGCAAAGGAGCAGCAACCCCCTAGACCACCCAGCAGCAAAAACCCACAACTAGATGCCAACAGGTCAGAGGGAAGGGGGCGGGGTGCTTCCTGGAGTCTAGTGTGTTGCATGATGGCATGCAATGGTTGACTCAAAGTTGGAGTAGTGGTGTATGGTCGAGACTGAGTCTAGAGTTGGAGTAGTGTTGAGCATGGTGCCAATTTGAATGGTGCAAGCCGCATCGTCCGAATGAGCAAGTGGCTCACAGTGTTGTTGTGCGGGTCCTACGGATCATGGCGCTAAGGCTGCCATGGAGGTGTGCTTTGTGGCGTGTCCTTGTCAAGTAGCCCCTATGCTCCCCTGTAGTTAGTTGCCAAGTCCAAGTGAACAATGTAGCCAAGGTACAGGATAGTTTGTCGTCGCGGCGTTCATCGCCGAAAAACACTATGTCTATTGTGCTTTTCTACCTCTCGCCAAGAGCGTTGGAGTGTGTGTGTGTTTAAGTGGTTCGTGGGCGAAGCTAAAAATTGGTACCAAAGACGGAGAAGATGTCGACCATATCACTGGTGGAACTCGTCATCATGCTGCATGCGGCGGAGGAGCGTTGCAGTGGAGTCGAGGCGGTCGCAGATGGCATCTAGTGTCTGCTACTCACAGTGGGAGGTGTGTTAAAGTCGTCAACACCGCAGCAAGGAGCGCTCGAGCGAAGGCAGCGACAAGCACGGTGGCGGCAAGGAAGGCACCAACGTCGACGTTGAGCCGACACTCCTGTACGTTGCCGTACGGGGTGTCGTGGATTAGGGGGGTGATTGTTAGAAGTAATCCATGAGCACTAATTTTGGGTAGTGTGTGCCTCCTGGAGTCTAGTGCGTTGCATGATGGCATGCAATGATTGAGTCAAAGTTGGAGTAGTGGTGTATGGTTGAGACTGAGTCTAGAGTTGGAGTAGTGGTGTGCATATGGCGCCGATTTGCATGGTGAAAGCCACATCGTACTGTTGAGCAAGTGGCTCACAGTGTTGCTGCGTGGGTCCTATGGATCATGGCGCATGTGCTCCTTGGCATGTCCTTTTCTATAAGTAGCCCCTGTGCTCCTCTATATTCGGTTGCCAAGTCCAAGTGAACAATGTAGCCAAGATACAGGCGAGTTTGTCGCGCGGCCAGTGTGTCTATTGTGCTTTCCTACCTCTTGCCAAGAGCGTTGGCGTGTGAGTGTTACCCGGGAGAACCACATGTGTCGCCTGGGAACCACTCTAACACACAAACGCCGACGCTCATGGCGAGAGATAGAAAAGCACAATAGACACACTATTTTCTAGCTACGAATGCTGCAGCGACAAACTCGCCTGTATCTTGGCTACATTGTTCACTTGAACTTGGCAATCGAATACATGGGGCTACTTATAAACAAGGACATGCCACTTGAGCACACCTCTATGGAGACCTTCGCACCATGATCCGTGAGGACCCGCAAGACCAACACCGTGAGCCACTTGTTCATCCCGGACAATGTGGCTTCCACCATGCAAATCGGCGCCATGCACACCACTACTCCAACTCTAGACTCTGGTCTTAACCATACACCATTACTTCACTTTGACTCAACCATTGCATGCCATCATGTAATGCAATAGACTAAATAGTGCTCGTGGATTATTTCTAAGACGGGGTAGTAGGCACTAGTAGGTGGGGGCCACATTAAAGCATGTATGCTAGTAGGGGCAGGGGAAGATTCTTGGGTCATGGTCTGGGTAGCGGCAGGCCATGGCAGCGTGAATAGAAGTCACGAGAAGAGAATGGTGACAGAACATGAGAAGACTAGATCTGAAACCTAAGCAAAATTCGAGGCCCAAACTTAGTGGACACACCTAGGCTTGGCTTTGGTGAAGCGTGGAGTTTGTTCTCTACATGGATCATTAAGTCTAATTTGAGGTCAACGTTTGGTATTGTGTATGGCAAGATAATGTGGTTGCCCTTGCTTGTGTGAGATCTTGTGTAGAATTTGTTGGTACTCTATTGGATACACATTTGATAGTTCCTTTCACTAAGACGGTTGTCCTTGCAAGAGCAGCTGTAAATGTCATCTCTTTCATTAATCAGTGGTTTGGTGCACATCTTTGGTGTTCACATGTGCAAGTTGCTCATTTAGTGAGTGTTGGTGGAGGAGTTATGTGTTTTAGGTGGAGCACATTTGGAAAGTATGGATTTGCATTCACTGTTATTGGCATATTCTTTGGTGATCAAGGAATTTGCTTAGATTTGGTTTAGAAGGTCAATTGCACATGTTCTTAGACATTTCCTAGGGCTAGAATTTGTTGAAGACTCAGTTTTGTTCATCTAATTTGTTAATATGTGCTTGGGACTTCCTACCTTTCTTGCCTACTCGATTTGGCGGCTTCATGTGAAACATTTATTGGAGGTTTTGTTTATGCATTTGACTTAGAGTTGGAGATTGTGCATTTGTCATCAAGGTCATGGGTGTGTTGGGCATATATTTCGTTCGTAAGAGTTAATTGATGCACTTGTTTGTGGCTCAACCGTTTTCCATGTCAAACCTAGCTACCTACATGTTGGAGGCAACAAATGTGCACTTGTTGATTGTTCATTTGAAGATGAATGATTTGAATATTGGACGTTCGACATCAAGAATATTTGTTTACTCTATGGTTCAATCATCCCTGAGGTGAATAATTGTGATGTTGCAGCTGACACTATTTGAGGTTCATTTGAGGAATTACATTATATGCAAAATGATGCTTATATATTTGGTTAGGTGTATACGGGCTCATTTGTAATATTCTTCAACTTTGAGGTACCATTTGCAAGGTGAGTAAACCAGCCCAAATGAGGAGCCCAAGCTCCCCTTCTCATGGTATAGCAACACTACTACATAATTGATGATCACTGCCGCCATTTTCACTGTAGGTTTGCTCAAAACTAGCGGTGATACTCATCACTGTCGGTTCGTATTACGAACCGTTGGTAAATAATTATCACCGCCGGTTCGTGTTACGAACCGTCCGTGAAAATGGGGGTGATTATCACCAACGGTTTGTAACACGAACCGGCTGTGATAACCTATCACTATCGCCGGTTTGTGTTACGAACCATGGGTGCTGGTCGATTCATCTTCACCGCCGTTTGGTATTATGAAAAGGCGGTTTGACTTATGTTGCAGCACAATAAAATTTATAACTTTTTCAAACAAAGTCAAGTTAAAATAAATTTTATATATCTACAACTTTGTAGTTGATGACTTTTTTTGTTTGAAATCATTTCGTCACCCAAAATTCTGTTTGAAATAAAGGGAGAGAAGTGGGAGCCAGCAGTATGGCGTCTTCCTTAGGGAATATTCTGCTCGAGGGCGACCGTGATCCGCCTCCATGGCCGCACCCTCCCTGGCTGACTACGTGCCCCCAGCCTTCCGCTGGGTCCATCCGCCAGAGGAAGGGGACCCTCCCTTCCCCACCCGTCAGGGGAATCAAGCGTGGAGCCTAGGTGCAGGCGCGGTTGGTGGAGGACGAAGAGGAGCTGGTAGAGTTTTTCGGTCAGTTGTGGGTTATCAATTCCCCACCTCCGCGTTCTAGGGTTCCATTAGCCTCTGACGCCACCGCAACTTTTAACCCTTGGAACCTCTTCTGGATCCGGAAGGAGTTGGTCCGCTCAAAGAAGATCTCACCGGAGGATTGCTTTCCTGTTCGGAGGTCTGATCGATTTGATGGTCCACTGATGAAGCTCAGTTTCGCGAAGGACATCTGGGGCAGAGGTGGGGAGAAGGATTCGTACTCTGCGGTGCTCAAGCGGGATTCCATGGCAGAGGGCGGGCGCTGGGTTTGGCAACCGGAGCCGCGTCGACCAGTTCAGCAATGCCCTCCCCGACCGTCGCCACCGAGGTATCCTCCCCAACCACTGTAGGGCTGGGTGGATCAAGGGTGGAGGAACCAACCGTATAATCCCAATCCCATTCCACCTCCCCAACCTCAACCTTAGTATCAACAGCGGCAGCAACCACAGCCCCAGCCTCAGCAGCGGCAGCAACCACCTCCTCAACAACCACGACAACAAGCTAAGCGGGGTGCTACCCAAGGCAGAGGACAGGGCAATTAGGAGTCTGAACTCCCTCCTTTCAGCATTGATCCAAGGTATCGTAATCTGACCTGTTACAATTGTGGAGAACCAGGTCACTTTGTAGGAAACTTCACTAGACCGAAGATATGTTTCATCTGTGCTGTCCCTGGCCACCATATGAATGTGTGTCCCATGTGGAAATCTGATCACCCTGTGGCAGCCTATGTTGGAAGTGCTAGTCTGGGTTTGGGATTTTATCACCTTGAGGTGACATCGGTTGAATGAACTTAGTGGCTAAATCTAACCAATTGTGGTGTGGTGAAAGTCAAGACTGGCCAGATTTCCCTAGCAGAATTGGAGCAGGAATTATCTGAGATATATTGCAAGGAATGGCCTTGGCAGATTAGGGAATTGGAAGAGGGAATGTTTCTGGTGAGGTTTCCTCCTCACAAAAAGGTCTCTGACATCAAGAATTACCCCTCCTTCAATCTTAGAAAAGATGGGGTGCAAGTTGAGGTGCTTGAATGGATTGGTGACTTGAAACCGTATGGGGAGTTGCAAGAGGTCTGGGTCCAGTTGAGGGTATACCTCCTAGGTGGTGTCATTGGAAGGTCTTTGCCCAAGTTGCTTCGGGATTTGGTTTATTGGTTGATGTGGATTGGGCAACTGTGTTTAAAACATTCTATGAGACTGTAAGGATCAAGGTGGCTTACAGAGAGGCTTCTAAGATCCCTCATGGGAGATTATATGAGATGAACAAGAAGCTGCATTTAGTGGACTTTGAGGTTGAGACTGATGATAACAAGGGGAAAGGAATTGCTACTGACAATGGAGATGATGGGGGTAATGATGGGCACAATAGAGAAGGATAAGCAGCCAACCCTGGGAGACAGTAGTAGCTTTAAGATTCCAGCCCCAAGCACTAAGCCGAGCCACACCTCTGGTTACAAGACATGTAATGTTGGGATAGAGATTCTGGATGTTATGCAACAGGACAAAATGCTGGTGCAGCATATGAGTCCTTTGGTATTATCTGCAAAGGACAAGTTGACTAATGTGGGAAGAGAAATTGCTGAATCTACTAGTTTAGTATTCCAGCCAGCTGAACAGAGGGTTGATACAAGCTTACTGGGGGAAAGGCTTAAGCCAATAGAGCCTATAGGTGGTGCTATTCACTGTGTTGACATAGGTCTTATCAATCTAGAAGGGTGCAACAATTTTGACTGTTGGAAAACTGCTGATGAAATGATGCAGAGGGGATCTGACTGTCATATTGTGGGGAACAGAGCTCTGCATGATATGCTGGATGAATCTCAAAACTCTAAGTGGGAAGAGTTTAGGAAGTTGGCTAAGTCTGTAAGTGATACTGCTGAATGTTCTTTTCTGTTGAAACAAATGGAACTGGAGGACTTTGAAGCAGAAGAGGAAGGCTGTGAGGAAACTGAGTTCATGTCTCTGGATATGGATATCACTTCCCAGAAAGTAGTCAACCTGGATAAGGAGACTGAACTTGTACAAGATAAGGAAACATGAACAAGAGGAAGAAGCAGTGGGGGGGCCAACACAAAGGGTAGATAGACCTAGAAGATTTCTAAGGATGGGAAGACTGTCTTACAAAGGGCTAAGGAGTTGAAAGAGCAGAAAAATTTATGTAAAGGTACCATTACTACACACTCTTTTGCTTCTGAAAACAATTCTTCATTAGCTGATAAAGCAAGTTGTGTTAACATATCTCTAGGAGAAAATAATGAGGCGGTTAACCATGTTATTGATTGCATTAGAGATAAGGAAATAGCTTGTAGAGCTAATTTTGAGGATAGGAGTCTGGAGGTTAACCTCCCTGCTGATTTGGAGGTGGACTTAAATATTGAAAATTTTCCACCTTTAGCAGTTTCGAAAAGTAGTGAATTTCTCCTCTTATTAAAGGATAAGGGGATGCTAACTGTTCTTGGGTAGAAATTGTGAACAAGGGTAGTAAATCCTCTTCATCTAATGTGGAAAATGATAGGTGCAATATGGAATGTTAGGGGCCTCAATAAAAAGGGTCGGTTACAATGTATCACTGATTTTGTTAATGAGAACAAATTGGACTTTGTGGGTTTTCAGGAGATTAAAAAAGAATCTTTTGAGGATTCCTTCTTAAACTATATACATAGAGACTTTGCCTGGCAGTTCTTTCCTGCTATAGGAACAACTGGTGGTATTTTGGTAGGGTTTAATAACAAAAAATTTGATATATTGGCTCACCAATTGAAAACCTATGCTATTTCTGTTATGATCAAGAATTGTGTTGACAATTTTATTTGGAGATTCATTTGTGTGTATGGTTCTGCTTATGAGGAAGGTAAGATGGAATTTATCCAAGAGTTAGAAGGGATGTTAGAGAATTGGTCTGGTCCAACTGTTTTAGGCGGAGATTTTAATCTGGTGACTAATATTAAAGAAAAAATAATGGTATTATTAATCAGAAGTGGGCTGATGTTTTCCAAGATTGGATAAACAAGTTTGGCTTGATTGAGCTTAAGAATTCCAGTAGATCATATACCTGGTCAAACAATCAAGAGCAACCAATTATGGCTGCTACTGACAAATTCTTTTGTACTGCTGAGTTTGATCAAAAGTTTCCTTTAGCTTTTGTTTCTGCTAAACCAAGAGTGGGGAGTGATCATGCCCCTTTAATTCTGAATTTTGGTATAGGAGAGAGGAAAAAACCAAATATGTTTAGGTTTGAAAAAATGGTGGCTGCAACAACCAGATTTTAAGGATCTGGTCAAAAAAGTTTGGAATATTGAATGTATTTTTACTGATCCTTTGGATATTTGGCAGTTTAAGGTTAGGTTGTTGAGGAAAAAAGTGAAGGGTTGGGCTATTAATATTAATGCTGAAATTAGGAAACAAAAGCAAAATCTCCTTAAGGAGTTTGATATTCTTGACATTAAACGAGACAAGTATCCTATCCCTAGCTGAGAGGGATAGGATGGATAATATTATTAGAGATTTGGAGGCCATTTGGAACATGGAGGAAGTGAAGGCAAGACAGAGATCTAGAGATAGATGTGTAAAGGAGGGTGATCGAAACACAGCTTACTTCCAAGCTATTGCAAATCAAAGAAATAGGAAAAAGAGGATTGAATGTCTAGAAGGTGAGGAAGGTCTTTTGACAGACCACGAGTCTATGATAGAGCATGCTATGGGTTTCTATAAGAAATTCTTTGCTCAAGAGGAGGATTATGGGGTTAAGCTAGATACAAATTTTTGGGGAGAGGAGGATATAGTGACAGTTGATGAGAATGAGTTCTTAGAGGCCCCTTTCACTGTGGAAGAAATTAAAGATGCTGTTTTCAGCTCCTACGCTGAGGGAGCACCTGGCCCTGATGGCTTCTCTTTTCTTTTCTACCAAAACTTTTGGGATGTCATTAAGAAATATTTTATGAACCTTGTTAGGGCCTTTGAGAATGGGGAGTTAAACATGGATAGATTGAACTATGCCATGATTACTTTAGTTCCTAAGGAGCCTGATGCCTGGAATCTTAAGAAATTTAGACCTATCAGCCTTTTGAACTGTAGTTTTAAAATTTTTGGTAAAGCTATAAATAACAGGCTCATTAAAGTGGTTGACATACTGATTACTAATAATCAATTTGCTTTTATCAAAGGTAGGTTTATTTTGGAAAGTGTGGTTGCTGCTCACGAAATAGTTCATGACATATATAGAAATAAAGAAAAAGGGATTATCCTGAAGCTAGACTATGAGAAAGCATACGATCGTGTAAGTTGGCCATTTATAGAGGATATGCTTTGCTCTAGAGGTTTTGGTAGTAGATGGAGAGGATGGATTATGAGATTAGTTAAAGGTGGTTCCATTTGTGTGTGGGTTAAGGATGATAATAGCAGCTACTTTAAATCCGGGAAAGGACTTAGACAAGGTGACCCTCTCTCACCTCTGCTTTTTAATCTAGTTGCAGATGTGTTCACTAGGATGCTTTTGAAGGCATCTAGGTATAATTTGATTTCTGGTTTACTACCACAGGTTACTATTGGAGGAATTATTAGCCTGCAATATGCAGACGACACTTTATTGTTCTTTGAGAATGATGTAGAGAAAGCTAACAATCAGAAATGGATTTTGAACTGTTATGAGTTTATGTCTGGCATGAGAATTAACTATGATAAGAGTGATCTACTTACTATAAGGCTAGAAGAGGAGGAAGCAAATTGCTTTGCAAAAATTTTTTGTTGTAAGGAGTGATTTCCCTATTAAGTATCTAGGGGTGCCTTTGCACTGTACCAAACTCAGAAGAGAGGATTTGCAACCTGTAGTAGACAAGATTATTAAAAGGATTGCTGGATGGCGGGGTAGATTGTTGTCCTATGCTGGTAGACTGACCTTGCTTAAGGCTTGTTTGGCTAGTATACCCATTTACCTTTTATCCATTATAAAATTTCCTAAATGGGCTATTGAGGTAACTAACTCTCAGATGGCCCATTTTCTATGGAATAACAGTGAAACTAATCATAAGTATCATTTGGCTAATTGGCAACTTGTAGCACAAAGAAAAGAAATAGGGGTCCTTGGTGTCCCAGATTTAATAAATCTAAATCTGTGTCTATTGAGTTCCTGGATCTTTAGATATCATCTGGATTCCAGTCCCATTTGGAGGCAAATAGTTGACTATAAGTACAAGACTGAGAAACCAAACCTTCTGTGCTGTCCAGATTTAAATGTTTCCCCCTTTTGGAGAGGGGTTCTCTGGGCCATTAAGGCTGCTAAGATGGGTATTAGGTGGACAATTGGGAATGGGCACAAAATTAGGTTCTGGAAGGATATTTGGTTTGGTAATTCAAGTTTGGCTACACAATTTTGGCCTCTATACATTATTCATGAATAGCATGGTAAGACAATAGCAGAGGTGTGGAATGGAGAAACTTTGAAGCTCTCTTTTAGGAGAACTGTCTCTGAAAGAAATAGTAGAGGATGTAGTTGTACTGGAGGATGAGGATCAAATTATGTAGAGCTATAGCTCCAGTGGCAACTATTCAGTGCAGTCCTTATATGCAGTAATTAATCATAAGGGATAACCCCGGTCTATGTTCATATAGTCTGGAAATTGCAGATTCCACCTGGAGTCCAATGTTTTTGTGGCTTCTATCTAAAAATAGAATCTTGACTAGAGACAATTTGGCTAAACGTAAGAGAATTGGCAGATCAAACTTGTCTTTTTTGCACTGAAAGAGAGTCGGTTGACCACCTCTTCTTTCATTGTTCTGTTATAAGCGGTTATGGCGTGTTGTACTGTCCATCTTGAATCTACCTGAGGTTTGCAGTTATGAAATTTTGGCATCCCGCTGGCTTGCTAACAAGCGCCATACTGTTAACAACACCATTTGTGCAGCGGTGATGTGGTGCTTATGGAAACTTCGAAATGATATGTGTTTTCAGGGAAGAGTTTGGATAAGCGAGAAGCAGGTACTGGTGTGGATAGCCAAGACGCTACGAAGATGGCTGCCTATGTTCAAGATGGAGGTTGGAGAACAAGTGGAGGCGGTAATCTTACAACTGGGGCATCAGGCGGGACAACCTTTGGAGCTTTGCTGGGAGGATGCCAGAAGTTCACTAATATCAGGTTCGGGTCGATTGACTACCCAAGCTTTGGAACTGGTCTCTACAGCTGCGACGAGATCTGAGTCTATCATCGGCATGAGATCAGAGAATGACTCTGTTAATCCTGAGTTTGATTAAGTTTGTAATTTGGTTGGCCTTTAAGGTCTGTTCTGCGGGCGCGCATATGCTTGAACTGTGAACCTGGATGTTTTTGATCGCTTTATGCGTAATAAAGCAGGGGAAACCTTCTTGTCTAAAAAAATTTGTCCGAAGCTCTCAAATTTTGACATTCAATTATTTTGAATTGTACAAATGACCTCAAATAGAAAATGACCAAAATAAAAGTTGTAGATCTAGATGTGATCTACAACTTTGTACTTGACAATTTTTTCATTATAAATCATATATGGTCTCAAATTTGTATTTGAAGTTCATAAATTTTCAAATTCAAAATTTTCAAACGATCTTGGATGAAAAATCGACCAAAACCAAAGTTGTAGATCTCGATTGGAACTACAATTTTGTAGTAAATGACTTTTACATTTAAATCATTTGAGGTCCAACGGTATGGCTGAAGTTTTAACGATTTGAAATTCAAATTTGTCAAATGACCGCGGATGGCGAAACCACCAACATCAAAGTTGTAGATCCCGATCAGAACAACAACTGTGTAGTTGATGACTTTTTTATTTGTGTCGCACCCAGTTTTAAGAATAAAATCAGATACACATCATATGTGAGCCCAAGAAGTCAAATCTCACATATAACTACAAATAAGGGTAACATCAAATCATAATGCTTAATTAGACAAATAGATTAATACAAAGAATACATCCTTAGATAAAGGCACAATGGAACGACAACTCCGATCTTCAAGCCGGAAGGCTCCAAAACCACAGTGGACAACTCGATTTGGTTGATCACGAGCCTA